TTTTTTTTAATATTTAACTTAGATTAGCTTTGGTACATTGGTATTCTTTAGCATTTCTTTTGTTCTAAGATTGGGCAATTAGTTTAATGTACTATAACTTAACTAAAGTAATTCCATTACACTTAAATTCTCCTTTGGCCTAAAATACACATTAGAAGATCATTGTTGGTTTGGGKTTTTGTTTGTTTGTTTCAATTTTTGCCTTTTGTTTTTTTCTCTCCTGTTTTGCCTCTCACTTTCCTTATGTATGTTCAGAGTAACCAACCTACTTTTGACTTTTTGTTCAAGTACTGCAGTGAGTGATCCGTTACTCCTGCAGCTCAACTGYATCCCTTTCATTTTTGATTCAGACTTCTTCAAAAATGTGACTCTTATCTCAACTAACACTATCGGGAAATGATAAAGTGGCAYCAGTCTTTAAATAATCAGCTCTTAATAGAGTTTTGTGATTGTTTTATTATTTTCCAGGCCTTCTGTGATATATTAAAGCAGTTCCCTTGCTTCACCCACCAGCTGCACCCTTTGCCTTACGATCTCCTGGACCAGCAGAGATCTGTAACCATTGACTGTTTGTTGCAGTGTGGTATGGCCTGATTTTGACAACTGAAGGTTACCCTTCTCCCTTTGTTCATATAAACCACTATAAACYACTCACAATCACTCGGGTCTGTGGTGTAGTGAAAGGTTCTTGGTCAGATGATGTGGTATTAAAGTGCTGTGCTCACCCTGACACCCTGTTCTTCATGTGGAGAAGCTGATATGACAGCTCAGAAGAGTGAAAGTAGCGTGTGACCAGAGGAGTTTATGAAGACCCTGGGGGGATTTTTGTAAGGGGATCTGCCTGGTGTTGCATCAGACCACAGACCTGGGTGTTCTGGCATGCAATGTGTTTCTGTTAGAAGTAACAGTGACGTCATAGGCCTGCCTGTGGAGCTATAGATGCTACTGTTTATCTAAAAAAGGCCCCACACTAGCAAGAAAACAGAATGGAAACAAAAAACAGACTAGAGCAAAATAGAGTGGAAACTGAAACTCTAGCAAGTCCCTTGTCTTCTCTAGCAGTTCTCTGGAGAAGGTGATAAAGGAGACCTGGACATAGACCTTATCAYTCTAAAGRAAAATCGAAACAGACATGTGTCCTTTTTCCCATAATTCAGCTTGCTGACACAGCCCTGGATTCATGCTTTTGTTCAACAGACCCAGTTTGATGACGTCAATGCATTCTTCACAGCAGGGAAAAAAAATCATTTTTCAAACAAACTGAGCATTTCCTTAGACTGGGAAAGCAAATTGGCTGGACGCCTGGTGGCTCCTACAGCCAATCACTATAACCTTACCATAAATGTAGATGTGTTTCTGTCTTAGGGTTGATTATTGACTTTATTTTAGACGTGGGACCATCCTGTCCTGGTCTTCTGTGTGTGCACTGTACAAGGGARTGCTGAGATAGCGAATGCTGCACTATTTACCAGATATTTTGCACATTACATGGGGTCACTTAAAAATTGATTTTGTGACTTGATAGATTGCAAATGCATCTGTTTTAATTGTTTTGCAGAGCTCTGTCTCCATCCAGAYCTTGCAGCAGGCAGTTTTGCTTCAGAAACTGTCTGGTGAACATTTCTTTTTTTTTTTTCTAGTTAATTGATCTTAGTGGTTTTTTGGAGATGCTATTGCTAAGATTATGCTTTATACTTTCAAAGCTTGGTGTACAGCAAAYGCTGTCACATGTGTAATAGATCAACTGTGAAAGCTTTTGAGATAAMGTGCTAGGGATGTTGTATGTTCTCCAGAGGTGAGTGAGAAARTGTTCAAACCTTTTCTTTTAAGGTACTGCCTAGACAGAGCATTGCCGATTTAATTTTTGAGTTTCTTGCATTTGTGAGATAAATCCAAAGCTGAATCCTTGTAGTAAAGGATGAAAGAGGAAAGATCTGTAGAGAAAAGTCTGCAGTTAAAAGGTAAATRTCWGTAAAAGGAGATCTTTAGTTCTGCTTTTAACCCTTAATCTGAAGATGGCCATAACAGGTGCAYCAGATGGCTTCATTTCCCATGTTGAATAAGTGATGCTCAAAGAGCTGCCCTTCAAGGAAAACAATTCTTCATTATAATTTTAAAGTAAACTAAGACAAAGTTTATTAAATGTGGTAGTGAGGAGGAGAAAYTAAAGGAAACATTTTAAAGGACCTTAGTGCGCTGTAGTTTCCAAGATTGTAAGAAGTACTACGTCTGGCAGTGGAATTCAATTCCACTGTTTTGCTTTGCTCTGTCATGCTTCTCTTTCTGGGGTATCATCTGACAAGTGAGACTTGCATGCTTACATGAAAGCAGTGCCTTGTGGCTGAGACTCCAAACTCTCTTGTTTTGGTTTCTTTTGATATCACTTAACCTTTGAAATTGTTTGGGGGTGGGGAAGACACGACAGTGATGTGAAMAGTCTTATCCCTCCCACTGACATCTCAGATGCAGTTTGGCATCCGCTGTGACATCAAACGCTCTTCAGAGCCAGAACAGGATGCAGTGATCTTGCTCTGAATGTTTGTCTCCTGGGTGCTCCTGGTGTTTGTCCCTGCTGTGTGCTTGTAAGCAGGACTTGTGCTTCGGATGGATGTACAGCAGCTAAATCCTGGTAGAGAGGGGCTGCTGTGGTAGGAACAAAGTTTGGAGGTCAGGGAATTTTCACTGTTCCCTACCTTC